TAAGTTGTTAAAGTAAATTTTACTCTTTTTTATAGTCAAGATGGATACACCAAGTGTAGTCTAGTATAACTCATCACTATCTTACCCTAAATCAGAATAAGAGATTTAAGCTTAAAAATTCTATCTCGTTATTTATAAATTGCAAGTGAGATTGTCTTTTTGTTTGTTTACAGTCTTTTCTTCTATGTAATCTGGCTTTTTTTCATAATTTGGTCTTGTAATCTGAAAGAATTGTAATAATTGCCTCATATTAATTCCTTTGACGTGGTAACGAATGATCAGCCAAATACTTTCTTAACTTTTTCCCAGGAATTATAGTCAAAGAAATCAATTCGAGTCTTAGCTGCTTAAAATCAATTTACTTATCGAAGGAACCTACTTTATTGACAATCTAGAAGGTTTGAAACGTACTTTCTCCAAGAGTGTACTTGTACTCTTTGAACTCCCTTCCCTCAAAGATCTAATCTTATTTTTAACATGGTTATATTCTTCGCTTCTGAGTGAGCTTAACCTTTGATGAGATATTTAATCATTTTAGAGGCTTAATTCATTTTTAATTTCACTGTCTTTTTCAGCTTGGTCTGCCCTCCTCAGACTTATTTATCGCTGCTCATAGTGACGTTCTTGACTATGAGGATGCCATCGGAACAGAAGCTGGTTCAGAATTCGTCGATGATCCAAAGTTTGCTTGCCCATAGTTATTCTTTCTTTTCAGACTCTTTCTTGTTAAACTAGGCATTAACAATTCTTTATAAGTTTGAGATACTACTTCATCTGGCAAACATGTTTACACAATTTCTATGTAAATGTATGGGGGAGTTGGTTTGGATTGATTGAACAACAAATTCCATATTTGAGGTATGATCCTAAGCAGGTTGCACTTTAGTGAAGCGCTACATAAATTCAAACAAGGACTAAATAATTTTATGCTCTTCATTCAGTAAGCGCCATAAGATATTTTGACCGTATCTGTTAAATATTTGCAACCATTAGGGATTGGGCACAGAAGTTCTATATTTTCATTTTTAACCGCTAAACAATATTAACTTTGTATAGAAGTTGTTTGATCTTGTTTTCACAAATTGCTCATTGTGGTAGGAAGACTTAGAGGAACGCACCTAGTCCGGAGTCTATTGTATTTATGATCATTTCTAAAGTCGGATTGTGGATGTGGTACATCCCAGACGTTTCGCCGGCATCGTCAGTAAATCTTGCCATTATTAGCATCATACTACAACTCGTCAAAGAGACAAGTGAAGCCAATTTTGACCAAATATGTGCTAAACAGTTGTGGTATCTCTACTTCTGTCCTAGTCCATTCACCTCTCCTATATCCTCGTATCACGCCTTCACTATCACTATTTTATTTTTTTTCCTTTTCATTGAAATGTAGTATGGCGTGCCCTTTTGAGCGGCTTTCATGAGAACCCTCAACAGACGCTGGCGTTTTCACCCCTCTTCACCCTTGTGCTGGGAATATTGATCAGAGTATGCCATATTGTTACGCAGTCCTCTTTCCCTAGGTCTTATCAGAATCTTCCTCTTGCCCTGTAGAATCTGTCCGTTTTTTCCCTGGTTCAAGTATCTCACTTGACTCCTGTATCCCCATCTGTGCTACTCGAAGCTAAGTCTTTGAGTAATTCTCACTGTCAAGCCTTTGCTGCATAAACCACGTCTGTCAGCCAACTAGCTCCAGTCTCCGCCGCGTCTATCCCGTTTCTATCCTTAATACCAGGTCTATGACTTTCTATTCCCTAGTCTCTTGTGTGTCAGCCCCAAAACGTTGTGGTTTAACATTGAACCTAGTCAAAACAAGTAGTACCACAACATTTGTGAGTTTGCACACAAGAGACTAAGGCATAGGAAGTCATATACATGGTATTAGGGATAGAAAGAGGATAGACGCGGCGGAGACTGGAGCTAGTTGGCTGACAGTAGGCCTGTTTTACTATAGACGTGGTCCATTAAGCAAAGGCTTGAATAGGACAATTACTCGGGGTCTTTAGCCTTAAGTTAGTCTAGCAGACGTAGAGTGTAGGAAATAACACCTCGAGTAGCACAGATAGGG